CTCTCCCCACCCGCACCCCCACCCCCCACCCCGCGAGGCCCGCACTCCTGCCAGCGGTTTGCATGTGCGCTGGTGCTTTCCTCTTAAGAGTTAGGGGAACTCCAGCGGTAATAACCACACACACTTCCCCTTAATCAGTGGCCTGGCAAACCCACTCGGGGATTTCCATGACCCTACAAGCGTGACTGTTTCTTCACCGGGGCGTAGCTGAGTGGCATTTACAGAAAGACCTTTGCTTTATTGTTTGTGGGCCAGAGGAAATCTTGATAATCCGTGAGGGGAAGATGATCTTTGGTTAGCCTGACTGGAAAAGGTCCATCTCCCACGTATTTAAAAAAAAAAAAATCCAAACCTTTGTGAAATCTTTGTGATAATTACTACATTTTGTTCTAATTGAGAAGGTAGAGCATATATGTAAAAAAATCACGTGATTCTCCTTTTCAGCTTATTTTTAGAGTTTTAAGAGTTTGAGGTTACCATATCAGTTTCCTATAGTGCAAAAAATTCTGGGTTGGTTGTTCTTATAACTAGGGTGGAGTTGGCTATAAAACAAATTCCTCCTTTTAGCCTTCTGTCTCACAGAGGAGATGTCTTAAGTGACGATGACAGTCATGCAAACGTGAAGTCTGAGTCCAACTGCACTGCCGTACTTTCCTCAACATTCCCTGTCTAAACAGCAGATTTGAGCACATTTATCTAAAGACAGTAACAGGGTGACAGATGGATTGAAAGAGCTCATCTGATTTTCCTGTCTTCCAGTAGTTCAGGATACTGGGCACCAAAGACAGAACCCATAGTATTACTCAGGACTTCATCATCCTGTGGAACAAGAAGGCAGTACATTCAGAATGTGCTGGATGGGGCGGGTCAGGCTGCCCACAGCAATCAGGGTTCCAGTTAGAATGATGTCAAAAAAGATTAAGTTTACCTATCCTGTGGAGATTTCAATCCATCTTTGAGCCTGCTTAGTTCAAAACTTTATAAGCCATTTTCAACTCACCTTTGAGATTGTCAACTGAAATAACTTGCACAACCTTAAAGTTGAGAGAGATGTTTTATTCAGTGGACATTTCTGAGGACCTGAACCCCTCTAGCCCAGGATGACAGCCTCTCAGATCACTCAAAGCAACAGCTCAGAAGAGTTAAGGGAGGAGGCAGGATATATAGAGTTTTTACAACAAAGACCAGGTAGTCGGAACATCAAAAGATTACCGTTAATTAAAAAACCAGATAGCTCAAGCAAAGGAATTTAGTGCTTTTCTATGTTTGGGAAGGCGTAAAGGTCTCGGCTTATTGTAATCTTTCCTTTGATGTGCACCTAGCTATCTAGGGCCAGTGTCCTGCCTGTTCTTCCATATCCTGAGTCCCCTGGGTGGGGGTGGGGGGACACTGATGGGGGCGGCTGCAGAGGCCAGGCTGCCTGCCTGTCTGCATCCTGAGTTGGCGGTAGCAGCTGATGACTTGATGGACACAGCATTCTTTGTTTAATGATATGGCTTGCAGTATTTTTATTCAAAGGATGATGGAAAACATTTTGTGGTCCTTAGATACTTTTGATCGTATACTCACTATATTCCTCCACACATTTTTAACTTAACATTAAAACGCAAAAGTTACTGTCATTGCCAAGGAACTAAAAAATGTACACATCGATGTAGTAGAATAAAATAGATCAGCATTCTTTTCAATGTATTCGATGGACTGTAAATACCATAGCCATTCGATGCCTTTCATCATGAACACATCGGCTCTTCTTTAATAACTGGAAATACCGTATCATTGCCTTTTGTCCTTGAATATTCTACTTCCCCCATGGAATTTTAATATATGTTTATAATGGGCATCTTTATGATTGCTCTGGCACATTTTTCTGAAACATGTGTGTACCAATTGAAATTTAGCGGGGAAGATGTACCTCAGTGGTAGAGCATGTGCTTAGCAGGCACGAGGTCCTGGGTTCAATTCCCAGGACCTCCATTAAAATAAATAAATAAATAAAAATCTAATTACCTCCCCTCCAAAATTAAAAAAGAAAAAGAAAAATGATGTACTTGGAAATATATTTTTAATTGAAATTTAAGGTTTTTTTCCTGCGATCATAAGTCTGTGTTAAAGAAAATTTTTCCCTTGATTGCATTTTCATTTATATTTATTACTTTCAGTACTTACTCCACAATTGTCAGAACCATATAAATACAAATGTTGATAATTAGTAAAGATAACAAGTAAAATTCTATTGTAAATACAATCTTTATGGGTTGCAGTGTATATTTGAACAATTTGTTCAAGTGTATGTTCATGAATATTACCTATTTCTAGAATATTATAGGTTCAGCATAGATTCTGTTCCTTTTTTTTTTCATTTCTAAAGATTACAAGTGTTGAAAAATCTTTTCCACATAAATAAGTAGACAGGCCCAGAAGAAATATTATTGTATCAATTTTTCACAACTGTTTTATAGCCCTCAAATTAGTGATCCTTTAATCCTAAAATACAGTTGGTTATCAGTAGACAATTCAATTTTGTTGAAATCAGTGACTTGGAAAACCACAGGACTTTAGCCCAGATAGGGTTGCCAGAGTTAGCAATTAAAATACAAGACCCCTAGTTAAATTTACATTGGACATAAACAACAAATACTTTTTTAGTATAAATATGTTCCATGCAATACGTTATTCATTGAATACATTAATCATTGGTTAGCTGGAATTCAAATTTAACTGGGTGACCTATATTTTATCTGATAACTCTAGACTCAGATATTATAGTTATTTATGTTCTCAACACTAATACCAGTTATTTCTAATCCTCCAGGAAGATTTTATATCCAGGGGCAATACTATACAATTTTAAAACCCAAAATGGGTGAGAGGTGGGCCTGCCTTTTTTAAGAAGAGAGAATCATTGTGCAAAGGTTGGGGAGAAGACAGAATAACCGTGACAGCTCTTGTTTTCAGGCAGATCCGTTTTAGGAAAAACTACATGTGGAAATTGAGTATTAGCTCGTTAATTCCCTTAAAGCTATTAGAGTTCCCACTTACCCATGGCTAAATCTTTGTAAAGACTTGGCAGATTTGTCCAAGGGAACATTTAATCCAAAATAAAGAGCATGGCCTAAGAAATCCTGACCTGACTAGGATTCCCACGTTCTTCAAACTAGTGGTAAGAGTTGGAATCAGACCTGTCAGGGCCTGGAGTGTCTCCTTTGCAAAATTTTGCACAATTTTAATTATTGATTTTTTTTTTAAATTTTGGTGATAGGGGAGGTGATTAAGTTTATTTAATTTTGGAGGCAGTACTGGGAATTGAACCCAGGACTTTGTGTATACAAAGCATGCTCTCTACCACTTGAACTATACACCTTCCCCTACTTACTGATTTTTTAAAAGTAATTGTTTTCCTGTAACAATTCTAAGTTGCATATGATCAAGGACTGTATACATTTTGTTCACTACCTTATTCTAGCACTAGTATCTACAAACAGAAGGTGCTCAAAATATGACTGACAAAAATGGAATCAGTCTCTCTGCTTGGGCGTTCTCTATGCCAAACCTGCACTCAAAATTTTAATAGTGTAACATACCTTACATTTTTCCTCTAACTCTTTGACTATCCCAAATATTTTATGCAAAACCTCCCTTTTTCCTCCCAGCATCCAACTTTCCTTAAATATATTTTCTCCCCAAATACTCTTTAGAGATAGGGCTAAGCAAGGAAATTTTTGAGGAAAGTGACAAGGCAGACACAGATGGCACTGATCTCTCTAGTTTGCCAGTTTTCTGCTGCTTTCAATGCGCAAGCAAGTGTGAGAGGTGTGTAAAACTGTTTTCTACCCCATCCCTGGTTTGGAACTTAAGTAACTCTTAACAGTGGTGTGTTCTCAATATCCTGTTACTAAATAACCGACTTTAAAGTACTTTTTCCCTTGAGGGTAATCATTATAAAAAATATTCTTTCTCTGGAAGGAATTTCACCTAATAATCATGCTGTAAGAAGTTCAGTTCCAGCTTAATGCTATTTCACTCTAAGTTTTTACAGTTTTCATTAAAGAAATAGGTAAAGAGTATCCCCAGGAATCTAGAATTGAAAGTAAAAGTGAAACCTACCAAAGGGAACGTGCCATTCTATTCCCAAAGTAAATATGGAGAGTCATTGTAAATTCTGGGGATTTCTAAGACTGTTGACAACTTCATATCTTTCAAATAAAATACAATTAGATCAGCCTTGAACAAGCGCCAATAAGGAAATTAACAAGGAAATAGCTTTTACTGTAGACAGACCTGTTCTCAGAGTGATGAAATTTGCCCTTACTTTTGATTTCTTTGTCCTGACAGTATTTTAATGGCATATAATTTGCGTAGTCCAAAATAGACCCACCTTGAGCATAGTTACGAATTTTAACAAATGTTAAAATTATACTTGGATGGCCAGCAACCAGGTCAAGATCAAGAACATTTTCCAACACTCCAGAAAATTCCTTCATGCCTTTTTTCCAGTCAATACCCACCTAGATCCCTCATCCTCCTGCCGCAACCACTGTTCTCATTTCTATCACCATAAATCTGGTTGTCTGTTCTGAACTTCATATAAATGCGATTTTACTCATAAAGCTTCTTTCATGGAACATATTTTTAATTTCATCCACATTGTAGCATGCATCAGTAGTTTGTTCTTTTTATTGCCAAGTAGTATTCCACTGGCTGAATATACCATAGTTTGTTTATTCATTCTCCTGCTGATAAACATTTGCGTTATTTCCTGGTTTGATCCCTTATGAAGACTGAACCTATGAATATTTCAGTTCAAGTCTTTCTGTGAATCTATGGATTCATTTCTGTTGCATAAATATCTGAACATGGGCTTGCCATTGGAGGTGTATATTTATTATTATTATTTTTAGAAACTACCAGAAACTTTTA